TCTTCTTCTTCTTCTTCTTCTTCTTCTTCTTCTTCTTCTTCTTCTTCTCCTCCTTCTCCTTCTCCTCCTCCTCCCTCCCTCCTCCTCCCCCCTGCTCCTCCTCCTCCTCTTTCTCCTTCTCTTTCTTCTTTTTCTGAATAGTTGTTACCTCGGCTCATCATGCCCACCTGACATATACTTCTTCTGATAAGAGACCAGGACTTAATGATGGTTGTGACCCCTTGAGCTGCCCCTTAGAGTCTTGTCCTTTGATATAGAGAAGGGCCTCATAGCCTGTTGGAGTTCAGGGTTGTCTCCTTTTATTATGGGAATAGAGCCTAACTGGAGGTCAATCTTGGTGAATAAACATTAGCAGAAACTTTTTCAGCAAACAAAATCTCACCTGTGGTACAGAATTTTCTTTTTCACAGTTTCTAAAAAATGTGGTGAGAATACTACTTATCTTTCAGTTATATTGGATGCAGTGATCATTTACTAATTTAAGAAGTAAATTTTACTGTGTATAACTTAAGATTTCTAAGCAAGTGTATTAGTAAATCATTTATTCTTATTATTTATTTGTCTATTTTTTTATTTTCTTATTTTGTTTTCACATCCTGACCACAGTTTCCCCTCCCTCCTCTCTTTCAGTCCCCACCACCACCAAATCCCCATCTACTCCTCCTCCTTTCTCTTCAGAAAAAGGAAGCTGATACCAGCAATGGTATATCAAGTTGCCATGAGACTAAGTACCTCCTCTCCTGCTAAGGCTGGATGAGGCAGTCCTGCAGGAGGAAAGGATCCCAATGTAGGCAACAGCATTAGAGACAGCCCCTGCTCCTGCTGTTAGGAGTCCCACAGAAGACCAAGCTACACAACTGTAACATTTGTGCAGAGGGCCTAAGTCAGTCCCATGCAGGCTCCCTGCTTGTTGGTTCAGTCTCTGTGAGCCCCTATGAGCCCAGATTATTTGATTCTATGGGTTTTCTTGTGACTCCTACAATTCTTCTTCCCTCTCTTCTTCAGAATTCTTCAAGCTCTGTCTAATGCTTGACTGTGGATCTCTGCATCTATTTCTATTCATGTCTGGGTGAAACCTCTCTGATGACAGTTGGGCTAGGCACCAATCTGTAAGTATAGCAGAATATCATTAGGAATCATTTCACTGGCTTTTTCTTTCTTTTAGTCATGTTTGGTTCTATCCTAGGTTTGTGGGCTATCCAGCCTCTGGGTCCTAGCTTCCCGGGCTCCTTCTCATAATATGGGTCTCAAGCTGGATCAGTCATTAGTTGAACATTCCCACAATTTCTGTGCCTCTTTTACCCCAGCACATCTTGTAGGCAGGGCGAATTGTAGGTGATTCAAGGTTTTGTTCCTAGGTTGGTGTCCCAATCCTTCCACTGGAAGTCTTGCCTGGTAACAGGAGATGGCTGGTTCAGGCTCCATATCTGTTATTACTTGGAGTCATAGCTAGAGTCACCCTTATAGATTCCTAGGAGTTTCCATTACACTAGATTTCTAGCTTGCCCCAGAGATGCCCTCCACACCCCAATTCCAGTTGTCCCTCGCAGTACTTTCCCTTTATCTCCCCCCCACCTGATCCCACCTGTTCCATCCTCACTCTAGCCCCATCCAGACCACTCCCCCTTTCCACTGGCAATGTGTAGTCTATTCCCCTTCTCAGTGACATTCATGGGGCTCCCCTTGAGCCCCCTTGTTACTTTCCATTTGCATATAAGTGCTGTGGATATCGCTCTGTATGCTGTGAATGTGTTACTCTGATGGGTTAATAAATAAAATGCTGATTGGACAGTAGCCAGGCAGGAAAGTATAGGCAGGAGAAGAAGCAAAGAGGGAGAATTGTGAGAAGGCTGGAAAGCTGAGTCAGGAGATGCCAGCCCATCATCCAGGGAGCAGCATGTAATGGTACACAGGTAAAGCCATGGAACACGTGGTGACATATAGATTAACAGAAATGGGCTGAGTTAAAGTGTGAGAGCTAGTCAGTGGTAGGTCCAAGCTAATGGGTGAGCAGTTTTAATTAATGTAAGCCTCTGTGTGTTTACTTGTGTCTGAGCGGCTGTGGACCATGGGGCCACGGGAGCCGGACAGGACCAGGAAAGCTTTCAGCTACATGTAAGCCTGTGGGCTGCATAATTTCTATTTCTATCTGCTCACTTTTTAAACAACTGTCCATATGAGTCATTAGCAGATGCAGGACTTCAAGAGGTCTGACTGGCTAAACAATGACTTTCTGCCTCCAGAGATGTGAAGTGCATAGCCTAGTTCCTAATTTCTGACTTCCGTTTTCCCAGGTCTCTACAACCTGATGAGTGCTCCTGCGGTTAAGTATCACTATTGATAACAGCACCAGCTGTAATATTCACTGAGCAGTCTTCACACGTGACCATTGCCTGAAGATTTTACCTGCATGAGGTATTTTTAATCTTTACAAAGTCAAGGTTCAGGTGCGTGCCACCATGCCCAGTTTGTACAGTGTTAGAGATAAAACCCAGGGGCCTTGTGTCGAGGATCAAGAGATTAAGAAAACACTTCCCTTTCCTCACACATCATTTCCAGTGTCTCTTCTGGATCATTTTATACCAAAATATGACGTGAAGCCTTGCCCAGCCTACTTTATAAATGGAGAAGCCAGATCCTACTGTTCTGAATGAAGTACTTGATTTTTCCCACTCCATCTTTTCTCCCCCCCTCTGCTCCTCCTTCCCCACGTCTTCCTCATCCCCCATTTTCCCTCCTCCCCCTCCACTTCCTGCCG